TTAATTTAGACTTTTTGGATGGTTTTCTCATGATTACACTGGGGGATGGTGTTCTTGGGAGAAAGACAACAGAGTTAAAGTGCCATCGTAATCACATCATATTGAGTACACTGTATCAACATGACTTATCATGGTCGATGTTAACCTTGATCACCTGACTGAGGTGGTGTTTGCCAGGTTTCTTCATCACAAAGTTGCTCTTCTTTCTCCTTTTCCAGTTTGCATTTCTTGGAACAAAGTTATCATAACTAAAAAGCTCCATCTCATTGAGAACAGAATATCTACATAAATTATTTGGGATTCTTTTGCAAGGGAAATTTGTCATTTCTCTCCCATTTATTTACTTCTTTTAATATTAATGCAGACCCCCGAATATATTTTCTCTATAAAATAGTATTGGGACAATACAATACTATTTTATTTACTTTGTTGCTTGAATTGTTCCATCTTTGGCACTTGGGAACTATTTCAGTGGGTTCGTCTCTCCCTTTGACATACCTACATAACTGTGTATGTGTGTGCAGGGTGTGTGTGTGTGCATTGTGCATACACTTCCTTCCTTCCTGGCACTGTAAAATGCTTTAAGATTATCTGATATATTTCCTGCCCCAGTTCTAGATTCAGCTACTCCTCTAAGGAATTGAACTGGGTTTTGTTGTCGTTTTGTGTTTGTTTGTTTTAATTGAAGAATGGTGTTAGAACTACTAAACTCTAGGTGCTAGCTGTGCTTATTGCTATTAGGTTGTTGTTTGCTTCTATGTTCTCAACAGACAGAATAATGGAATATGTGTGCATATGCAATTGCCTTTTAAGAAATTCAGATTTTTATCTACACTTTATTCATTGCCATAGTTAAAATATACTTATATGAAAAGTAGTTTATTGTTTTCCTATAAGGACGTACCTCTGTAAGTTTGTTATTATGCTTCCCAGTAGCTGGAAAAAAATTTTATACCTTTCAAGAACAATTTTTAAACTTGTGCATTTAGAAGAAAATATTTCTTCCCCACTATCATTCTTAATAGTGCTTAGTTACTGATTCTGTTACCTGTAATGATATTTAAGAAACTATTGAGGCGAGTAACGCTGAATAACTTTCACAAATCCCTTGACTTACAAATCACAAGGTTTTTTGATTAAAACCTTAAAATATCTGTTAAAGAAGACACTTAAGTAAGTGAGCCTGCATAATGCTAGTTTTTATATAGTCACTTTCATATAAGGTAATGAGGGGAGCCACTGTTACAGAGTAATCAAGGAAGAACTCCTTGAAATTTTGTGGACATATCAGAACACAAATATATGTATATTTTAAATAACATTGACTGGATTGAAAATCTGGAAGATAATAAAACTCCTTATTAGGCAAATCAAAGATGAGATGTTCTACATATGAGATTATAATAACAGAGTACTATAAACATCAAAATGTTCCAGCTCAATGTGTTAACGTTGTATTTTTCTCTCTGAAATATATTTGAAATATTTTTGGATTCTGCAACTAAAGCCTGTACCAAACTAAATTTTGTATTTTCATCTCGAGTTTATAATTATTATTATGTGCATCATTTTTTATGCAAAATATTGATAAACTCTGAAATACTGTTTTATAATTCATTTCACTCCTATTAAATTGCCCCAGCATGTTATGTTGCTTGAGTTAAAATGCCTATTTTTATAAATATTTTAGGTGTATAAAAATGTATAGCAATTAATATAATGAACAGCTTTACAGACAACACAGAGTTAAGAAAAAAAGTCATTACAGATATTGTTACTGACCCTCCCTTTTTTTCTTCTATTTCATAAACTTTCCCTCCACACTTAATTACTATTCTGAATATGATGTTTATCACTTTTTCGTGCTCTTACGCTTTTAGAGTTAAGTGCGTGAATCCATAAATATTATGTATTGAAGTATTTCATATTTTTATACTTTATCACTTTGTATATATATATCATTCTGGAACTTACTTTTTAAATTCCCATTTATGTTTTGAAACTTGTTTGTATTTCTTCACCTAATTCTACATCAAGGATTAGTAAACCAGAGCCTGAAGGGCAAATTGACATTGCTTCCTGATTTTGTAAATAAAGTTTTATTGGGATATTAGCCATTGAACCTGGCGTGGCTATGAATTGTCTATGACTTATTTTGTGCTACAGTAGCAGAATTGAGTAATTGTGACAGAAACTTTATGGCCCACATAGCCTGAAATCTTTACTATTTGATCTTTTGCTGCAAAAGTTTGCTGACTTCTGCTCTAGATCATGCAGTTTGTTTGCTATATTGTATTCTAGTAGAAGAAGAATATGCAATTTGTGAACTTTATTTAGTTTTACCCCTATTGCTAGGTAATTACACTTTTTGCAATTAAATGTCTTCAGCTTTTCTTCCATTACAATTCCTGATTTTCACAGCTGTCTAGTTTAATGAATATAATATGAAATGGAAAATTATGTAACTAGACTTATTGATACTGAGTCTAAAATATGAAGAGAATATTGAATGAGAATTTTGGAAATGTCTCTAAACATTACATATGTTAGTTTCGGACATGTTTTACAGCATAGAGTCTTGTTTTTCTCCTACTTTTAATTCCTCAGCTATGTTTCTAATGGTTAAGTTTTCTTTCAGGGCAGAAAAGTGTTCCTGTGTTATGTACAATGAAATATGGTAGAGGCTATGGAGAATGTGAAATAGAAGAAATGTAGGTTGATCCCTTAGCATGTAACCCATCCCTCTTGGCAAAATCTCAACTTTGGCTATAAGAAAAATACAAAGGTGTGACCTTCAAAAGAAACCAATTAAATACAGTGACAGATGCCCAGTAAAAACACTTCCTGAAATAAATTACAGGTTGATGGTGGAACTGGAAAGAGAGAAGTTAAAGCTGAAAAATCCTTCAGCTGTTCTTTAAGAGATCAAGAGAGTGAAATACACCTGCTTGAAATAACAAGACTTTTCCATCGATCATCTTGTGTTCTGAAAGGCAGCAACACTATTCTGATTTCAGAATCTTGAATTTTCTTAATGAATTCTCTGCTGGAATACCACAAGCTGTTCTATTAAATCTGTTTCATGAGACAAGCAGGATTTGTATTAAAATGATTGTATATTGATCATTTTGGTAGAAGAGGGAAAAAATGAGACTGGCTGAAGGAGAATGCAATGTGGCTTCCCTAAACCTAAATTTATTCTATTTTTCAACCTTCTCCTCATACAAGTGCTTCCTAATGTAGGCTGAAGCTATCCATTTAAGCATGACTTATTCATGTTCAAAAATGATTGATTTAGATAGCCAATGAAATACTGAACTCCCCGTTATTATTGCTTGACATACTTGCACTACAAATACTGATGGTTTAAAGCAGCGAAATTGATCATATGGAGGATCAGCTAGAATGCCAAGATGGATCAGTGACAGCCACGTTGACTTTTAAATACAGTTATGACCATAAAAGCAAATGGGTAAGAATGGTATTCTGAGAATCCATTTTTCCCTCATAGTGACTTCTATGGAAGATTTGTTAAGTTTAAGCCATAAGAAGAAATAGTTTTCTTACCCACAAGTTGGCGAATGATATGCTGATGTTGGTAAACTGAGATCTACCTTAAACATCATGGTCAGGTATGAGGATTAACAAACAATCCAGCACAAATGAGGGTTTAAAAAAGGCTAAAGCCAGTTTTCCCAAACCTGTACTCTTAAGCCATTATTTTTATGGAGAATTTATTTTTAATTTTTAGTCAAAGTGAGAACTATCTATCTACATATCAAATCCAAAGGTGTGGATGAAAGGATGTTATCTTTATAAGAAAAATTAACATTTTTTGGACAAGAATTTAAATTATAACAAGCCAACTATAGGTAATATTTAACTCTTGAAAAGGAAACTTTAAAAGGCAGTTGGCTTTGTTTCTTGTGGGACTTTCAGAAGAAAATTTATAATCAGTCAAACATATTTTAGAATTGTGGAGAAAATAAATAAGCTCACCTTTTCCTTCCCTCCCCCCCATCCCTCTCTCCCTCCTTCCCTTCCTTCCTTCTTTTTTTTCTTCCACATTTATTGGATACCATCTATATGGGAAAATGTATACTAGGTCTGGAAGTTGTGCATATGTACAGTATGCAAATGTATATAAATATACATGTGTTTTTGCATATATGTGTTATCCATCCTCTCTTCTTCCTGTATTCTTGTGTTTTATCAGTAGCCAAGTATTCTATCACTATTTATAGTGGATATATTAATCAATGAGATACTCTACAGGTATGTATATCTCCTGTCTTCCCATAGTTTGTACCTTGTAATTTTCCTAGGGACTTTCCATTTAAGTGAGTAGCCCAGGGGATTATTTTAAGGACAAAACACAGTTCCTAAATAATAGTTTGTAAAACGAGTTGAAAAGCTAAGCAGCATATGACTTTCATTCTGTTTGTGTTGAACCTAGTAAGACATATTTCGTGTAATCACAGGTATGTGCTGAGTTTTTATTCCCAGCATCACAAATTCTGCTGACATTTAGGATACCAAGAATTATTAGGGATGGTCTCCATTCTGCAGACCATAGAGGTAGTTAAGAAGAGATTCTATTTTAAAAGCTAATAAAATATATTATTTTTTCCATAATTATTCTCTAAGCCAAGACAATACACAATTTGTTCATATCATTTTGCCCAAGAGGAGGAATTTGAAAAGGAGCTAATCGGTGGTGTTAAGTGCCATATAGGAGATTTTAAACTGAGAAAATATTATTGAGTTTGGTGCTTAGATAGTTGATCTTTGATGAGATAATTTCAACGTAAGCCTGGAGGCTAAAAAAAAAAACAGATTGTGCTATTTCTTGACTCAAAGTGGAACCAACTCTGTGAGTGCAATTAATGATCCAGAGCTGTGCCATGGGATCAGACTTCAGCTAGCCTGAAGGCAGAAACACATTCGTATTGTTGGATTTTTTCCTCTTCCTTATCCTGTTTTCACTTCTTTCTCTTGAGGGCATTGCATTTAATAGATCACTGGAAGAAGAATCCCCATCTCAGACTCATCTTTAGAAGACAGAGGTGTGTAAAGGAACCAAGGGACTGCAAAGGTACAATGATTGAAATTAATTTGTGGTGGGGTTTATCAGAATATTGTGATGGTTGCTGGACTCTTGTTTGTTTTATCTAACTTTCTAGCTGTCTACAGCATTTGGAAATGGGAGTAGTGAAAACAGTAGGTTAACAGGATAAAAGGCAAGGAAATTAATTGTTCTAGAATGGATAATATGAAACAGCTGATCATGAGATGTAGGCTGGGAGAGAATATGTCAATTCTAAGGGTAGACCTGTTAGGAAAGAGGGCTAAAGTGAAAACGCAGAAATTCTATTACATCAGTTACATTTGCTCTTGCCTTTACCTATAGATTATATCCAGTTTTTAAAGACTGTTTGACTCTGAACCTTCAGAAATTCTATATACCCCAAAAGAAAAGGAGTATGCCTTTGAGATATAACAGTATCAACTGTTTCCAGCAGATTGATAAATAATTATTTACCATAGGAAAGATGAAGTCATATATTTACATCTTGATGTTATAACTATATTCAAAAATGTCCAACAGTTAACAGGACCAATTACTAGAATATAGGAAAAATCAGCATCAGTGCTTACTCTTTGTATTTATTTATATTAAAGGTTTGATATTTGAACTAATACAATATCTGCACTGGGTTGAGTGTTTTAAACATTCTGATGGATTTCTTCCATAGCAAATATAATCTCTTTAAAAATGTATCCTCCTGTCTCCCTCCTCCCTAAAGTCAGGGCTGCTTTAGGAAAAGAAAATGGATCTGATTTGACCAGGTATTCATGGTACTCTTAGTTTTGTTTTGTCTGCATGAGGTCAATAACCCTTATTTGTCAATATCTATGCAAGGATGGTTTCCCATTGTTAAGAACATTTATGCAAAAAAAAAGCATATGCTGCAGGATAGAATTTTTGAACACATATACTATCTGTGAGCTTAAGCAGTTCCTTATTGTCCAATATTCTCAGTTTTTTCATTTGAGCAATAAAGATGTGTTGGTCTCTTTTTGAATTTATGATTAATTTATCAAATATTTACTAAAGGGTTATTCTTTGTATGCATTTGAGCAGTAGCACAAGTTCCTTGCCTCAAGAAGCTCATTGTGGAGAAAGATGCTCTCTAGGATCAAATCAATAACTTGAATTTTCAGATGGGATCAGTTCAGGGGGTAGTGATACAAGACTATTTCAGGTATATGAGCATAGAGATTATAGCAGCAGGAAAACTACAAACTACTCTTCACCTGAAGTCTTGAAACATATTCCTGAAAAACTGCAAATACATCTTAAAATGTAATGCACACTGGACTCGGACTAACTGAGCGACGTCTCGCTTCCTCAGACACTTTGAATTCCATGCTCTATTTGGAATTTCCCTTCCTGCTCCAAGGTTGAGAATGTTAAGTTGGGACAAACATAGGGCCCATCTCATTCACTTTTTTTCTCTTACAAAATATTACATTTCTGTGCTATAGCTTCCTAAAAGTCTGTAAACAGTGGTTTTATATGTTTTGACCAGTTTTTAAAATTAAGTTAGTAGAGTAAATCTGGTGTTTGTTACTCCATCATAGCCACAAGTGGGTGTTAAAAAACAAAGGCAATCTGCAGCATCGTATTTGTCCCGAGTTATTTTCCAGTGGTAGACAGTGGTTGCCTCATACTTATCATAGGACCTAGAGTGTGGGAGAGTTCCTCTTCATTTCCTGCTTCACCCTCAGGCATAGGCAAGTCCTCTGTAGCTGACTTTCACAGCACATCTCTAAGCACTCGTTTCTTCCCCAGGGGTAGATGTCAGCAACTATATATACAGTGAATGCCAGGGAATGAGTGTTTTCCTTGAATTTCTTATTCTGTCCTTAAACTTAGAACCAGTACAGTGTGTCTTGGAGAAGGTCTCTCTAAATTTTTACTGCCCTACATCCCGTCTTTCTCATGAGCACTTGGTGATGGCTCAAGATCCCAAATGGACACAGATTGCAGACACCTGTCTGTGTTTCCGCGGGCTTTTAAACTGCTAGGGCAAGCTTACAATTGGCCTTTAAATATGTGTTAAAAGTTCAGCTGCTTTCTTTCTGAGATAGTTCTACCTGGAGGGATATATTCCAAGACCCTCAGTGGATGCCTGAAACCTTGGGTAGTACTGAACCCTCTATATAGCATGATTTTTTTTCTATATATGGACATCTACAATAAAGTTTAATTTATAAGTAAGGCACAGTTAGAAACTAAAAATAATTAATAATAAAATAGAACAATTATACTAATATAATATAATAAAAAGTATGAGAATGTGGTCTTTCTCTCTCAAAATAGCTGATTGACTGGATCATGGGTAACTGAAACCAGAGAGAGTGAAACCACACATAAGGAAGGAGAACTGGGCCTGTTTCTATGGTGACTTCTACTTCAGCTCTGCCAAGGATGAAACTCTTCTATGTCTTTGCTTTTTTCCCAGTAGGGGCTTTTTTCTTAGTTTGAGTTCATTTGGTTATTTTGTTACATCAGCTCTCTGATGGGCTTCAAATAATCATGATTTTGTAAGATATCCAACTTGCTCTTGTCAGAGTGGCAATGATTTTCTTTGGTAAAATTCCACACATTAAATGGAGGCAGAATCCCCTCAATCACTCTCTTCACTTTACTGTCATTAACCCATCATCTTGTCAATCTGTACTCCAAAGGCATATGTTGGGGATTTTTTTTTTCGTTTTGTCTCCCTAGATCTCAAGAAGACTATTTATTCATTTATTCATTAATTCAACACATTTTGTTGAGTGCTGAGGCTCTAAGAATCTGTGATACTGTTCAACATAAGTAAATAGGTGATTCCAATCAATATTAAACACTGTAATTAAAGAATTTCTGAGTACTAAAGAACACTGTAGAACTCGATGGCAACAACTTGTAATCCAAGACATGGTTTGCTGGATGTGAGTATATAAAGGCAAATACATGTAAACCAACATCTGAGTAGGAATTACTCAGGTGAAGAAGGAGTGAGTGGCGTCCCAGAATATCTAAAAGCCTTGTTAAAGTGTCTGAGAAAAAAGATGGCTTTTACAGGAGAGAAATTAAATGTGGTTAGAGGAAAGCACATTTGCGAAAGGAGAGGAGGAAAGAGTAGCAAAAAGTGTAGCTAATTTGTAACCACGGGCCAAGTTATGAAAGGGTGATTAAACTAAGTTAAAACGTTTGGGCTTCAGTGACCTAGAGGGTACTTGACACTTGGTGCTAACACCATGTTTCTTTTTTTTCTTGTTATTCTTCCCTATTCCTTGTCCTCTTCTGATATGATTCCCTAATGGCTTTAAGTTCAGAAAGAATACTTTAAATATGAGAAAACACATCACAGCACTTCAAGTTGAGAAAAGAGTGTGTGGGAAATCATGGAAGAATTAATATCTTCAAACAATCACTCAGTGTAGTTGGTGGATGGGAAGATTTTAGGTTGAAAGTGGCAAAATACATTAGTGATAGCTCACAAAGAGACGTTATCATTATTATGATCATGAAAAAGAAAACATAAAGTACAATTTGTTATCTTCATCATTTTTAAGTGTGTATTTCAGTAGCATTATGTATATCCACACTGTCCTGATACAAACCTCCACAGCTGTTTTGTCTTGCAAGTCTGAAACTCTACACTTACTAAATAACAGCTCCTCTTTCATCCCTCCTCCCAGCTGCTACTGAGCAACATTCTATGTTCTGTTTCTATGAACCTGACTATGTTAGAGGCCACATATGAGTGGGATCATACAGTATTTGTATTTTGTGACTGGCTTATTTTACTTGGCAAAATGTCATCAAAGTTCATCCATCTTGTGACATACGACAGGATCTCTAGGACTTCTCAAACCTTTTCTGATCTCGTCCTCCTCGTATCTGTCTGCAGAGCTATAAATATAACACGATGCTCACCTCTGTTTTCAGTAGCTTCCAAACTTTGACACAGATCCAGTCCATTTCCCATATCAGGTAAGAGAAAAACCATTCTCTTCAGTAGTTCCCAGACAAGCCAGAATGTTGAATGCATGGTCCACATTTTCCTTCCTGAGGTTGAAGTCTCAGTACATGAAGTGTCTTCCTAGTTGTTATACTCTATCTCACAACGGGTAAGGAGCATGAAGGACATGCAAGATGGACAAGTGTATTTGTTTATTTATTTTTTTACCATTTTTTTGCTGGAATCCCTTCTTGGTTAACAATAGCATGGGTGCTGTAGCTTCTCCATTAAACTAGAGTTCTCACAGTGGCATTCTGGCCCATATATTGCTGTTAGTGTCTCCATGGGAGAGGAAAAAACCCACCAACTTCCTAGTTTGCTGTCTCGATGACTTCCCCAGAAGAACTGTTGTATCATCATAAAAAGTTGAATTTTGGTCTTGTAAAAATAAAGGATAAGTTCCTACAGAATGAAGTAGAAAGATTCAATCACAATTGTAAAATGGGACTTCTGGTGCTATACTCAATTTGTGGATGAAAATGTTAAGAAAATTAAATGACTTTCCAAAGTTGGCCAGTGTGTAATCTCCATTTTCTCACTTCTCTTCCCTTCACCACATGTTCTATGATAATCTAAATAATACCAAAGTACACGAATGTACACCAATTTTAATGAGTCGTCAATAAACATTTAAGAAACTGAAGTTCCCATTACTTACTCAAAACACTTTTATTATGGTTATATGTTCAAATCACTATCTAAATCTTCTGAAATTCACATATTTAGAAATTCCTTGTTTATTGAATCATTCCAACAATTTTAGATATCATATTTTTGGTTTTAAGATACATCTAATGTATTTATTTTTTTTATTTTAAAAATACATCTAATACATCTCTTATTTTATTTCAACAACTTTGCTAACACATTAGAGGACTTCCCCATACTGATAGGTTTAATATTCCTTAGTGTTCATTACTAATAACTGAAAGACACAGGTCTAGAATTCTAAAGTACTGAATTTGCATTATTTAATTAGAGTTCTAACACATTTTATTTTAAAGACTCTTTCTACACAGAGGTCCGGGAGCTGGTGAACTTCCAGCAGGAGCAGGCGTTCAAGGACAAGACCCATATGCAGTGGCTCACCCTGCAGGCCCTAGAGGAAGAAGCTTCTCCAGGCTGAGGAGTCGTCTCCTGCCCTGGAGGGGATCAGGGGAGTTGAGGAAAAATGAGGCCAACTAAAGGCTGTTCCCACCAACCGAGGGAAGACGTGGGAGGACGTGCCTTCAAACACTCAGATGCCTTAGAAATGCTCCAGAAAAAGACGCAGGGATTGGATTCCAGGTTCCAGCACGTGGAAGATGGAGTCTGTTCTGTGGAGATGGCTTCTTTGCCCCAGGCTGAGAGCCTGCAGCGTCTTGTCCAAGAGTCAGTAGCCTGACTGCCCTACAGGGGCGCCTGGTGGCCCCGAGTCCCCGGACAAAGACAGGGATGTCCTGGCAGTGCAGTGAGGAGCCTGGCCAGGCCCAGTTGGTGCTCCAGGGCACTGCAGATGAGATGAAGAGTGTGGGCAAGCTCCTGGCACCCACTGCCCATCCAGGACCAAGCCCAGCATGCCCGTCTGCTCCTTTAGGACTTCCTGGACAGCTGTTCTTGAGACAACCTGAAATCCTCAGCCAGCCTAGTGCAATTGGACTTGAAAATGCTTAGGAATGTCAGGGACAAGTTTGCTTGTGTACCCAGCCACAAGAGAAACCAATGAGAACAGCCTGGAATCAGCCAAGGGTTTACTAGATGACCTGAAAAATAATCTGGTTGGGTTGTTTGTAAAGGTTGAAGAGATCTATGAAAAGGTCTCAGTGAATTGTGTGCGCAGGGCACGGATTTAAAATACAATTTCTCATGATCATAAAATGTGTTGTTTTCTCCCATGTAGTCTCCCTCCTCAATTCCTTATTCCTTCTGAAAGAGTGGTAGATACCATCTGAGCATCAAGGCTTATATTTTCTGCTCAATTAATTGATTGGCTCCTTCTTCGGTGGTGCCTATCCTTTCTTAGCCAACCTAATAGCCTTGAGTTAGTTATGTGAGCAACTGAGGGGAGGGGAAGTGGAGAGAAATGCAACACACTTCACTGGTCCCACTTTGGTGGAAGTATCACCTTGTAGGAGAATCCCAGTACAGGCCGTGGGTGGTGGCTCACACCTGTAACCTCAGCACTTTGGGAGGCTGGGTGGGTGGATCACCTGAGGTCAGCAGTTGGAGAACAGGCTGGCCAACAAGGTGAGATCTAATCTCTACTAAAAATACAAAAATTAGCTGGGCGTGGTGGCGGAGGCCTGAAATCCCAGCTAATCTAGAGACTTAGGCAGGAGAATCATTTGAACCTGGGCGGTGGAGGTTCCGGTGAGCCGAGACTGTGCCATCGTACTCCAGTCCAGACAACAAGAACAAAAACCCATCTCAAACAAAAACAAAAAAAGTATCTGAGAACAAGACCAGCCATAGAGTGCAGCCCAAGACAAAGAGTTAACACTTAGGAATCCAGTAGCAAGAATGTGAACTAGTTTATGAATGAGTATGAGACAGACCATCTTATCCTGAACTGCTAGAGGAAGGTGACACTTGAAAGGTGAAAAGGCAAAAATGTAGCAGTATGATAATCAAGTCTTCCCTTGCACAGCATTTAAAATCTGAATGTCAAATTCACATGCATAATTTAATTTGAACTTTATGGGAATTTGGTGTGATGTAGGTAGAGCACGCCACATTACTAGTTTCTCAATGAGTAACATCCCAGTGTGAGAGTTCATGTTCTTAGTCCAAGGTCACAGCTAATAAGAGGTAGAATCTGGCTTATACCTAGGTTTCCTGAATCTTAAGTTTATTTTTCATAATAATTAGAACACATATAAACCATATGTGTCTAAAGAACACCTCCGCAGTCACCTTTGCCTCTAACCTGAAATGGGATGTGTTTGGCAGTATTTGGCTATCACTGACTTGATGTGATTCTTTAAGACCTTCCTGGTGGTGACTGAGCAGTGCCAGCTGAACACCCAAATTGAGAAGAGGAATCAAGCCACCAAAAAAGAAGCTGAGTTTTGATTTACTAAAACTCCAATTACACTTAATCAGATTACACTCCCATTACACTCCAATACCATTTCTGTGCACACTGGATATCTCTCAAGGTATTTTCAACTGCAATCAAAATATGTATGTGTGTTTTCTTGCCTTGAAAAATGATGACTCTGCTAAAAGAAATTCAGTAAAGATTTCTAATCATTGCCAGTTTGACAGATATGAATCAAAATAAACTTCTTTTAGAGGAAGTAAGTTGCTCAATGATTCAGCGAGCTGATCTTTGAAATGTGCTTCTAGTAGTCTATGAATATGATGCTATGCCTGGATGACACCTTAGATTTCCACTTGGCCACTTGCAAAGATTAATGACCAGTGTCCCAGACAAGAAAGAAAAATTGTACAGATTCTGGATAAATGCATAGCACTTCTTATAGTTTCCCTAAATATCACTTAAGGTTTTTTTTTTCTCCTCGTGTGAAAGCTATATTTTTACTCCTACCAATATTAGAGAGCATATGCTAGACTTTCAAAGGGTATTAAGAAAAATATAATGGACTTTGTTAAGTCATATTTTGTCTCAGTAAACCCCAATCCCCATGCCTTTTGTTACAAGTAGGGTCACCATCTTGCATTTCAAATTGTTCAACCCTGTACAAATGGGATATATTTGACAAATGTACTCTTAACACATGTTTTAGAAACAATTCCAGAATATAAATCTTTTTTTTCAGTTTCATTAGTTTTAATAAATCACTGAGATTTATAATACACCATAGTGACCCTCAATAGAGTTGGCACCTAGTTGATGGTTAACTAGACTGTCTTCAACAGTAACTCCCTTTGGTTTGGTCAGGGAGCACTGAGAGATGACTGCCATGTAAATATAGCTAAGTACACTCTGGCCTGGGGTAACATTTATTTATTTTTTTTTAAATTTTTTTATTGCATTTTAGGTTTGGGGGTACATGTGCAGAACATGCAAGACAGTTGCATAGGTACACACATGGCAGTGTGTTTTGCTTCCTTTCTCCCCTTCACCCACATTTGGCATTTCTCCCCAGGCTATCCCTCCCCAGCTCCATATAAACCTTAAATTTACTGATTGCAGAAGAATAAAACTATTTAAAACTTTTTAGGCACTGTGAAGACTAAATGCCATTCTATGAACCTAACAGTGTTTTTACCACTGTTATATATTTTAAGGAATTATATATTTTAAGCAGAATAGGCAAAATAGGTAATCTGACCCTCAATTGCTAGCTCCAGGAGACTAGCTGTGATTAAAATTATTTTCTACTTGTTTTATTTATTGGACTATAGCGGGCATCATCTATGTGAATTTTAATAAAATGCTGATAATGATATGGCCAGTCCAAATGATACAACCTAATTCTGCTTGTGACAATATATGAACCATTCATAAGGTTGACAAGATGTAGAATCTACAGAATATAATTTCCTTCCTGTACACAGCCAAACTAAACTACTGCATGCTAATGAACCTTACACTAAGGAAGTCCAGATGGCTGAAATAATAGTTTCATTTATGAAGAGAAGTAAGGAGATTTTAAGTTGGCTGCCTTTGTTAAATCTGAATTAACTTTTCTGTAGAAAGGAACTTTCACCCAAATTAAATAAACTCTGTATTGTAGTTGATTACTTAAAAGTCAACCCCAATTGATGCTAATTGTAAGAAAATATTTTTAAATATCTACTGTAACAAATATAATTGATCATTTTCTTATAGTATTTTTTAGTTTTTCGAGTAATTTAAAATCTATTAAGTTTATATAAATATGAACAGCAAGATTCTTGAAGGTAGAAACTCTCATTTTTAAAAAAGTTTCTTGTAATAGAAAATGGAACATTTGGCTAGGTGTGGTGGCTCATGCCTGTAATCCCAGCACTTTGGGAGGCCAAGGTGGGCGGATTACCTAAGGTTAGGAGTTTGAGACCAGCCTGGCCAACATGGTGAAACCCTGTTTCTACTAAAAATACAAAAAATTAGCCAGGCATGGCAGTATATGCCTGTAATCCCAGCTACTCAGGAGGCTGAGGCAGGAGAACTGCTTGAACCCGGGAGGCAGGAGGCAGAGGTTGCAGTGAGCTAAGATTGCACCACTGCACTCCAGCCTGGGCAACAAGAGTGAAACTCCATCTCAAAAAGAAAAAAAAAAGGGGTGGAATTATGCATTTGCATTCAGTGAATGATGTGGAGTGGATAAACTGGTGAAGACTAGTGCTCAAAGTTCATGTATAACAAGATGTAGAAATAGCTTCACTTTTGAAGCACAATCCTTTTTTTTCCTTAGAAGGATTCATGTATTAATAGCAGTATCTTTTTCAACATAAAAGCAGAAATAAACGTGCAGTCTTGAATTATTTTCAGGGTAAAAGTAAATAATTTTTGTGTGTGTGTGTGTGTGTACGCACACTTTTCTTTCTTCCATTTAATTTGATAAGTCATTGTCTTAAAATGATTTCTTCCTCTCTTTGTGTTAACATTTGTGCTCAGGAAAAGCTAGCGAAAGTCTAACATTAAAATAATGCATCATTTAAGTGAATTGGTATTCAGACAACTGTCAAATGAAGGAACAAATTAGAAGATGGATTTGGTTATAAGGAAGTTTCATAATCGAGAAAGAAGGCAGTAGAAGAGGTCTATGTCAAATTTATAAAAGCGAATTCATAAAAAAACATTTCTGATGCAAAAGAAAACAAACTTTCCATGTCATGGCTTTGGGAGATAGAGTTTGTTTTCTTCACTTGCATTATGAAGAATCATTTTTATTTTATTATTTCTTCATTTGTACAAATGTATGGGGTACATAAGGTTTTGTTACATGTACATAATGTGTAGTAGTCAAGTCATGGTATTTAGGGTGTCCATCACCCAAGTCAATACACTTTTGTTAACCATAGTCATCCTGCTCTGCCAGCGAACATTAGAGTTATTTCTTCTGTCTAATTGTATGTTTGTACCCTCTAATCCGCTGCTGCTCATTTCTCCCCTCTCCCAACTCACCCTTCTCATTTTCTATCATCTTTCTCTCCACTTTCTACCTCCTTATGATCCAATTTTTAGGCTCCTACATTAAAGTGAGAACATACGATATTTGTCTTTTTGTGCCTGGCTTATTTCACTTAACATAATGACCTCGCGTTCCTTCTATGTTGCTGCAAATAACATGACTTCATTCTTTTTTTTCAGTTAAATTTATTTCATAAATATTTCATAAACTTATTTCATAAATATATGCCACATTTATCCATTCATCTATTTATTTTAACTGAAATAAAAATTTGATTTCTTTTCCAAAATCAACATTTTAGAACTCTCTGAATTAAGACTTTATAATTATATTTGTTGTTGTCATTTTATTTGAAGAGACATAAACTTTTATTTCCTATTGTTGTCAATCCCTGCCAACCTCAGCCCAACTCATTAGCTGGTGGTTAAATCGTTATCCTAGAGAATAGCCTCTGAGCTTGCCTGAAACTCATCTGCTAGTAGACTCCTAAGAACATTACTCACATAACTAGCAGACCAAGTATCAATCTTGCCTCCCTAGAAAATTTGCTTGATGGAACTCTCTGGACTCCTCTGTACTCACTGACTTTCATGAAGTTATCATCAGTTTTTCCCAGTTGTGAGGTGCTGCATGGTTTTCTACAGATTTCTAGTTCCTGAGAGCTGGGTTCTACAGTAGTTGGCTGGGACCGTGATAAATCCTTTCATTCTTGCAAACTTCCTGCTCCCAGAGCAGAACTCTGATATTCCATCCTAGCCAGGGCCTAGGATCCCATTTGAAACCTGGTAGATTGCCTGGAAATCTAACATCTTCCTCTCCTAACAGCATTTTAAGCATTATAACTGATGAGAGAAGCTCATAATTATAGTTCAGCCTGAAGATAGGACTTTTAAATCTATGGTCAACAACCTGTATTTTTATTTTATTTTTTGCTTTAGGTCTATGATGCAAAGTTGGAGGCATAAGATATACTCCGAGAGAGGGCCCACTTTGGCTCCATCAGATACCATTTCCCTAGTAAATTGACATCCACACTAGCATTCCTAATCCTAGGGGAGG